CAGGGTTCCTCAAATCTTGCCCTGGAGGGCCAATGCACTGCAGAGTTTAGCTCCAACCCTGACAAACTTACTTACCTGTGATTTTCTAATGATCCTAAAGACATTGATTAGCATGCCCAGGTGTGTTTGATTAGGGTTAGAGCTAAACTCTGCAGGAAAGCGGATCTCGTGGGCCAGATTTGAGGATGCCAGGTCTAGTGAAAAGCTGCATTGTTGTATATTTTCTGCAAATTTTCATTTTTTTGGGTGAACTATTCCTTGAAGTCTGCTGAAGCTGAAGAGATCATTCATCTAAAGCAGTGTTTCTCAACCCTGGTCCTGGGCACCCCCCAGCACTGCACATTTTGTGTCTCCCTAATCAAATACACCCGATTCAACTCATTAGCTCTTTAAAAGAAACTCCAGGACCTGAAATGGGTGTCAGATAAGGGAGACATACAAAATATGCAGTGTTGAGGGGCGCTCAGGACCAGGGTTGAGAAACACTGATCTAAAGGCTGACCAGGCAGGTGTTGTTAAGATATAGGTCATCAATAAAATGAAACTGATGGCGTTATCCAGAAGTGTCTATTAATTTGCTTTCATGTATTAAGTTGATAAGATCATAAAATTACAAATAAATCTTTTTGGTGTAGTTATAAATTGTAATGCAGATACAGATCTAAACTAAATTAATAACACAGCCTAACAAAAAACTGAGTCAGCATTAAGAGACAAATGTTGAACAGTGATGAACTGCTGAAGTCCTTTTACAAATCGCTCAGTGTACTGCAACACTGGAGACATCCTCACCATCTGCGTCATTTACTAGAGCATGCATTAAAGGCAGCTCACAACAGTTTCAAATAAGAACTAAAATCATTTCATTATCTCTGTATAGTGACCTTCTTTATCAAACTAATTATGCAGTAAAAATCTCAAATGTAAGAATGCAGGATATTAATGCTGGTGGTTCATACAAATGATTGCAGACCCTCATCCATCAACTGCTACACAACCACATTAATGAAAAAAGGACCCTCTCTTTAAAACCACTTTATGTAGAGAGGGAAGTGCAGATTAGTTTGCATTTTTTCAATGCAAAACGCATTGGGTTGTAATTGTAACTATAAACGTGATAAAATATAACTAGAATATGCTCCAAAACTCAGTTATGTTAACAACAATGCATTTCATATAAAATTTTATAAAGTTCATTAAAGAAACAATTCAAGATTTTTCTGTTTTATCTTTTTATATTCAATCTATTCACAAGACAAATAATCTTCATCAATATTTTATAAACTTACCCAGTTAAAATGTTTTATCGCTCTTAATATTCCTTAAACATAGCAATGTAACAACATTCTGCATTTGAGATGCCTAAAATTAAACATGGGGAAACATGACAAAACACAAAGTGTAGGTGAATTCCTATTACAACAGCAAAATTAGTGGTTATTGTAGTGAACAGTATAAAGGGGTGAAAACATATACAATACACAAGGGTCCACCTCCACGTGTGTTGCTTGGCAACAGCATCACCAATGCTATATTTGCTCTGCTAGTCCAAGTAACACTTAACAACACAAATTTCCAATTGCGATTGCAATTTTGTGTCTTTAAGAAAGGTAACAGTTGTGGTCATAAAGGGGCGGTCACACAACACTTTTCAATTTCATTCATATGCACGTGAATGCGGGAGACTGGAAGAGCAAGTTCATGCAAATAATTTTTGCATTTTGGGGTGTTCAAAAGTCCCAATTTTTTGGTCAACTCTGACCTGCAAGTTCCTATTTTGAAGACATGCCACCAACAGAAGAAAGACACATCATGATGTGACCTCTTAGTCTTAGCTGAATAAAAAGAACACGAACTTTAAAGCTGAAGGTTTGCAGAGTTGCAGGAAAAGGGAGTAGATTGTATGTTTTTTTCATTCTGGATAATGTTAAATTTTGTTTTTTTTTTGAGTCTAGTTTGACCACAGGTTAAGGCGTATTAATGGAAATGTTCATGCGCGCAGTTTTAAGCCATTAAAATGCTTTTTCTTTATTACAAAGATCCTTAAAGTGAAAGGGATAGTTCACCCAAAAATTCACAGAGTCACTATTTACTCCCCTCTTGTCCCAAACTGTGACTTATTTTTTTCTGCAGAACACAAGATATTTTGAAGAATTGACAACCAAATCATTTCGGTGACTTTCATTTGATCAAAAAACAAACAAACAAACAAAAACCCTTTATTTTGTTTTCTACAGAAGAAAGAAAATCATAAATTTTTGGAATGACATGAGGATGAGTCTATGATGACAGAATTTTCAGTTTTGGGTGAACTATCCCTTTCAAAACTGGGAGGTAAGAGGATAATTGAACATGAGCTTACTTCATGGAGGAACCGGTAAGCTCAGGTGTTTGTGGTAAACATATCACATGCTTTCACTTACGTCTCTTGGTTACTGTACAGTCATGGCCAAAAGTTTTGGCAGTGACACAACTTTTGTGTTTTGCAAAGTTTGCTGCTTCAGTATTTGTAGATTATTTTTCCACATGTTTCTATTGTATACTGAAAAACAATGATAAGCATATCATAAGTTTTAAAGGCTTTTATTGGCAAAAAAATTTAACGAGTCAATATTTACAGTGTTGACCCCAAACAGTCGGAAGGGAGCTTCATCAGCGAAAATAACTTTGCACCAGTCTTCTGCTGTCCAACACTTGTACTTCCTGCAGAATTTCAGTCTGTCCTTGACAGAGAAGTGTCAAGTGTCACTTTTCTTGGAGAGAAGTGGCTTCTTTGCTGCACTTCTTGACACCAAGCCATTGTCCAAAAGTCTTCGCCTCACTGTGCGTGTAGATGCTCTCACACCAACCTGCTGCCATTCCTGAGCAAGCTCTGCACTGCTGGTCACACGATTCTGTAACTGACTCCTCAGGAGGAGAGGGTCCTGGTGCTTGCTGGACACTCTGGGACGTCCTGAAGACTTCTTCACTGCAGTCGAACCTCTCTCCTTGAAGTTCTTGATGATCCGGTAAATGGTTCTTTCAGGTGCAATATTCTTTGTAGCAATTTCCTTGCATGTGAGGCCATTTTGATGCAAAGCGATGATGGCTGCACGTGTTTCTTTGGAGGTAACCATTGCTAACAAGAACACAATGATTGGAAGCGCTTCTTCCCTCCTTTTATAGCAATCAATCTGCTCTTACAATCTAATTAATATGGTAGTGATTTTACCGGAGTAGTACTCATTCACACTTTCACATGCGCTGCTGATATGATTAGTCAGTTAATGTTAGCTGGTCATTTTGTGTCAGGATCAAAAAACAGTGAAATTTGTTTACTCAAATACTTAGTGAAACAAAGCCAGTTTTTTTTATTTTTTTTGTGAAAAGTTCATTTTTTGGCCAATGAAGCTTTTAGCAATTATTTAAAATGCATCTGATCACTCTACACAAGAATCTAGAAACAATGTGAATGAACACCACAACAGCTTAAGCAGCAAACTTTGCAAAACACAAAATTTATGTCACTGGCAAAACTTTTGGCCACGACTGTAGTGGAAAAAAAAAAACCTTGACATTTCGATTATTTGATTCTGGGCGCCATGCACTAAAAAAAAAATCTGGAGAACTGTTTCACTCACAGGGGCGCAGGAGAGTAGCTATAAAAGTAGGACAGCAGGATAGAGCATGATTCCTATAACCAAACATAAGGACAACAGGTATGTCCACACTGACATTTAAAAAATATTGCAGCTGTTCCTTTTTTTCCCTAATACCATCTACTCATTACACTCCATGAGGTACAGCATATCGACTTCCCAATCCATCAAGGGTGGTCCTAGAGTTTCTCCACACTCACTCAAATGGAAATTCAGGTGGATTTTAAGTTATAAAAGGGGCAAGCTGGATAAAAAAAGGGTGCCCTTTCAGATTTTTGGGCATTAGGTTTTCCGGGCACCCAGTCTCTTGAATACACTGACTGCCCCAGCGTCCATCTGAGCCCCGTGAGTGTCACCTGTGCTACTACTGACCTTAGAGCTGGCCAGAGCAAAGCTGCCCTGGGCTTTGCTTCTGCTACTCGTAACGCGACTGTCCTGGGTGTCTGCAGGCTGACTGACTAGTGGGGTCGAGGAGGTAGGGTTGAATGACGGGACCTTGCCTAGTCTCTGCAGTACACCCAATTTGGGTGTCCCCTCCTGGCTGGAGGAGGAGGTAGAGGAGGAGATTGGTGGTGTGCCTTCAGATGAGGGGAGTTTGTACTTTGCACCTAGTCGACGCAGAGTGAAGGGTTTAGATTTGGAGGTTACAGTCTCTTTTTTAGAAGTGGGTGGGGTTCGTTTGAGGACGCCGGCATACTGCAGCACTGAGCCCTCACCGTCGCTGTCATTGTCCTCGAAGACGTCTGCAACACCATCAGTCTTTTCTCCACCCTCTTCATCTTCCTCTGCTTCACCCAGTCGGCTAAACACACCTGTTGGCTGCTGCATGAAAAAAGAGCCAGGAAGACAGTGATGTAAACAAATCAGGATTAGGAATCATTAACAAACAGTGCCGATCCTAGAATTCTGGGGGCCCTAGGCAAAACTGTGTTGGGGGGGTGGGGTATGAGTGGTTATGAACGAATGAATGAAACACATTTGTCCATGTTTCACTCCGTCTCGAATCGTGCTCGCGGAAAGTGCTTGAGAAACAGTGTCTCTTCCGCGGCTCGGTAAGCTTTCAACTCGTTATTTTAGTCTCGAGCAAGACTGTACGACATTCCCATTACATCATTTGACTGATTTTTACGTAGAAAGGGCAACAGCGCACCGCATTAAAAGAAATGATCATTCATGTTTTCATAACCTCTGGCCAAATTCAAAAACGAAACTAAAATTAAATAATCTTTGAGAGCAAGGGGGCCCCCTGGTGTTTCGGGGGCCCTACGCAACTTGCGTATAGGGAGGATCGGCTCTGTGAACAAAGAATAACATTTTTTTACAGCATTTATTTATTTTGGTTTATGTTAATTTCTGCATATACTAATACATTTATAACATTTTAAGTTGTACAAATCAACATTAGTTAATGTATTATCAACAAACAAGAATTAACAATAGTACATGTAGGAAATAACATTAACCTAGATTAATCAATGATCTAAAAAATGGTTTATTGCTGATATTATCGAAATTAATGTTACTGTAGTGTTACAGAGTCATTAAACGATGATGTGTGTAATAAAGAGAAAACAATTCTTAGTGTCTGGGTTTTTGCCGTTTTGTTTATCTGATGGACAAAATCAATACAATACAATTTCTCACCTTATTGGCTGAGGTGGTGTCTGCCTTAGACTCTGCACCAAGTCTATCAAACACTGAAGTACGCTTTAAAACCTTAGCTGTGGTAAAGAAAGGGAAAATTATAAGATCAATCTCATCTGTATCATTTCAAGTTTTCAGTTAGGCAGTTCTAGTTTTAAATTAGTTTAAATTAGACTCAACAAATATACTATCTCAGGGCACCTTTCTTGGCCTGCTGTGCCAGGATGCGCCGAGTGCGAGCTGTTGTGCCTTTTGGCATGTTAATGATATATTTCCCCTCCATTTCTCTTGTGACTCGCCGGCGCTTCACTTGCAACCCATTTTCATCTGCTGGCTTGCTAGGCACTGCAAGAGGGTGGAAAAAAATTGATCATCCTGTTTATCATTTAAATCATCCTGTTCCATTTAAAGAAATAGTTAATCCAAACATGTATTCTACCGTTCAAAAGTTTGGGGTCAGTAAGTTTTTTTTTTTTAAAGAAATTAATACTTTCACTTAGCAAGACGCACTAAATTTATCAAAAGTGACAGTAAATACTTCTACATTCTATGTAGAAGTATTTACTGTTTCTATTACAAAAAAATACTGTTCGATTCCTTTCTATCCATCAAAGAACCCTGAAAAAACATGTATCACAATTTTCATGAAAATACTGATACTAATAAGAAATGTTTCTTGAGCACCAAATCAGCATATGTGACCCTGGACCACAAAACCAGTCATAAGGGTCAATTTTTCGAAATTGAGATTTATACATCACATGAAACCTGAATAAATAAGCTTTCCATTGATGTATGGTTTGTTAGGATAGGACAATATTTGGCCGAGATACAACTATTTGAAAATCCGGAATCTGAGGGTGCAAAAAAATCAAAATACTGAGAAAATCGCCTTTAAAGTTGTCCAAATGAAGTTCTTAGCAATGCATATTACTAATCAAAAATTAAGTTTTGATATATTTACAGTAGGAAGTTTACAAAATATCTTCATGGAACATGATCTTTACTTAATATCCTAATGATTTTTGGCATAAAAGAAAAATCAATAATTTTGACCCATACAATGTATTTTTGGCTATTGCTACAAATATACCTACGACTTAAGACTGGTTTTGTGGTCCAGGGCCACATATTAGAAGGATCATGTGACACTGAAGACTGGAGTAATGGCTGCTGGAAATTCAGCTTTACCATCACAGGAATTAAATACATTTTCAAATATATTAAAATGGAAAACAGTTATTTTAAACGGTAGTAATATTTAAAGGGGTCATATGATGCGATTTCAAGTTTTCCTTTCTCTTTGGAGTGTTACAAGCTGTTCGTGAATAGATAAGATCCCTAAAGTTGTAAAGACTAAAGTCTCAAAACCAAAGAGATATTCTTTATAAAAGTTAAGACTCGTCCACGCCCTCCTAAAACG